GGGAAAATTTTCCGGTGAAGTCGAGAATTGAGGCCCTGGTGGAAGTGAATGTGATATGGGCGCATCTTATGTTTGATAGTATTTTTTGCACATTTCTATAGCTTTTTTATTGTTCCCTGGAAATTACTCGTATACTTGTATTTGGATTATCCGTAACTGCTAATATTACATTGAGTTGATTTTCCTCAGTAATGACGGTTTTCGTTTTTTTCCTTTTTTCATACGCTACATTATCTGTAACGATTAAATCGATCCATGACATCCATGACTTTGGGAATCTTTCATGGTACCCCCTTACTGCTAACAAGCTACATTTTATGACATTCTCTTAGTATCATATCGACTAATTCTTCATTGGAAAAATTCCTCATTCGCCAATTCCAATTGTGTACACAAACAACAAGAAGTACCGAATCAAAACTCAAATATAGATAACATATAGGGTGTTCCGCTAAAAAAATATAAATTTGGTATGCTGTGACTTTATGAAACACCCTGTATATTACGAAATAATTTTAAAATGTGCAGCTGGACTCAATCTATAATTTGAATTTAAAACTTTTGTTCGCATCCCTCAACACAACGGAGACATCAAACTCTGGAGTTTAGTTGTCAGTGTCAAAATGTAATTTAGCAAATTTGGACGGTTTGAAATCTAAAAAATCGATTAGAAAAATATATCAAGTTTGTAAAGGAGCGATGTCATTTTTTTTTTGGTTGTTTATAGGGATTGTCAATTTGGATTAGAAAAGAGTCAAATACTGAAATGCTTGGATATATAAGATAAAAGGAAGATGCAAGTTGATATAGTTGATTTTTGTTAAGTTGGAAAAGTGAAATAGAGATTAAAGTTAAAAAGATAAAGAAAATTTGAATTAATTGGACGCTGAGAATAGCAGAAAGGGGGGTTAAGAGAAGAAACTAATAAGCAAAGGATGAAAGCAGAGCAGAACCAAACCAGAACAAGAAAACAACACAGACAGAACAGGAGGACAGTCTGAGCAAAGGAAAATAATAATGCCATATTCTTTTATAATATTAAAATTTTGTTATGTTTAATTATTTTTTGTTATACTTTTGAACCTCCCTTGGTCAAATATTTTTTGATTGGATTTACATTAACCATTATTTACTATAAGGTGCTTTCGATGTTATGCTAAAAATTTTGAATAAAATTCTAAAATAAAAAAACTAATGTTTCAAATTTTAGCTAATAATAAAAAAGAAATAGAAAATGAGTGAGAAATATACATTTCTGAGTGTATTGGTAATTTGTAAAATATTTGACCATAACTGGCATTTTAGTCAAGTGTAGGCATAAATAAACGTCTGTTTCGACACGGGGTGTTTTCCAGAGGCTCTAAAAAATGGCATAATCCGACCACTACATAAAAAGGGGAATAAGCAAGACATAGAAAATTACCGACCTATTACATTAATTTCAAACGTAACAAAAGTTTTAGAAAAGTTATTAAAAACTCGGATATGTAATTTTCTACATAAATACAAAATACTTTCAAATCGTCAATATGGCTTTAGAGAGGGGCGATCTACAGAGGATGCGATACATACATTAACTTCCTATGTTTACGAATGCCTGGATAAAAAAATACCGACCATAGCTATATTCCTAGACCTTTCTAAGGCCTTCGACACAGTTCATCATAAAAAACTGATAGAAAAAATGGAGAGATATGGAATAAGAGGGAAAACATGGGAAATTTTGAAAAGTTATTTATCAAATCGTGTACAAAAAGTTGAACTTGATGGTATTTTTAGTGAACCAGAAAAAGTAACTTATGGCGTGCCACAGGGTACTGTTTTGGGTCCGGTTTTATTTACCTTATACATTAACAGTATGCTAGAACTCAATTCAAAGGGTGAGATTTTGAGCTTCGCAGATGATACTGTTATTATGTACAAATCTTCCACTTGGCAAAATCTAAAAGAGAAAATAGAAAATGACTATCCAAAGATTTCAGATTGGCTAGCTCATAACAAACTCACCCTAAACTATTCAAAGACATGTTATTTACCGTTTACATCGTACTCTTCTGGGCTGCCTGTTTTAGGACCTTTGAATGTGGGCTTAAATTGTGAAATTTCGGAAGCAAATTCAGTAAAATATCTAGGTATTACGGTGGATCGACATTTGAAATGGGATATACAATTAAAACAAATCGTGCAAAAAGTAAGGGGATTACTATCAAAATTTAAATATTTAAAAGACTTTTTAAATCTGGAAAACCTAAAAGTAATGTATCATTCTTTGATAGAATCGATAATGTCATATGGTATACTAGGTTGGGGTGGTGTAAGTGATATTTATCTAAACCAGGCAAATGTTGTTCAAAAATGGGTCTTACGTATAATATATGAAAAAAACCTTACATATCACAGTGATTTATTATACAAAGAATTGCATATTATAGATCTTAGACAAATATATTGTTTAAAAATTCTGATGTTTATACAAAAAGGTAAAATTAAATTAAAACCACACCAACATTCGTATAACACAAGAAATAATGACAGTCTATTACTTCCAAGAGCTGATAAAACAATAGGACAAAGACACACAAACTACCTAGCACCTAGAATTTATGCCATTTTACCGAATAATATAAAAACTGAAATATCGCGTCATTATTCATTTAAAGCCAAAGTAAAAAGGTGGATTCTAAATGAGGATAGAATAACATTTAGTAAATTGGTTAATAATATAATAAATCCTATAAAAAAAAAAAAAAAAAAAAAAAAAAAAAAAAAAAAAAAAAAAAAAAAAAACTAATTGAGACTACTTACCCGAATTGTGACTACTTACCCGAATTGTGACTACTTAACCGAATTGTGACTACTTACCCAAATTGTGACTAACTACTTATCCGAATTGTGACATACCTCATTTAAATAAATATTTTGAAACCTAAAATTACCAATATTTTCCCGATTGGGACCATTAAACACAAATACCGACTACTTACCTGAATATGTCTTATTGTTGTGTGTAGAATAAGTTATTATATAGTTTTAAATTTACATAGAATATTAAAGTAGTTGCACTACTTCTGTGATTTTTTTGTTTATTCCCTTCTTGATGAATTGTATTGCTTTTTTATGTATTTAAAATAACTCATGTGAATAAACATTATTATTATTATTATTATTATTATTATTATTATTATTATTATAATGGTAAAATCTCTTATTAACTCAAAAAAAAAAAACAATTTAAAGGTCTATTACTAATGTTGTTATACATATTGTAAAAAAAAATTAAGTTAATTTAAATCGATTTAAATCTATTATGTAATATTACAAAACTAAATCATTAAGAAAGATATTAAAATGTAATTTACCTTTTATCATCACGCACATTACTCAGATTTCCGTTTAAAATGTAACTACATTTAGCATGATAAGTAATTTTTTTATGTACCATATTTGGACACACTTCCTCTTTTTTTACATCTTAATTGATACTCTCTATAAGTTGTTAGACTGGCGCAGGTGCAAAAACTGTAGATTGCACATCTCTTTGAATTTCATTTTTATTGAAGAGTAATTACCCGCATAAGACATTCGCGAAATATGTACGTATCAAAGTCTAATTGATCGACAATGAAATGAACAAATTTTTGAAATCCGTCGCAAATCAGGAGTAAACGTCTTGTTTTATTTTTAATAAATTGAAAAATAATTAGGTACTTGTATAAGTAATGTGAAAGGGATTATTGAAGTATGAGGATACCGATTGCTACACTTCAACTGATATAGAACAATAATTATAAACAAAATGTATGATTACACCTCCTCTTTGTTAATTTTAAACAGGCTTACGCCTCGATATTCAGAGAAAAAAATGTATGAAACACTGAAAAAAGTACATATACCACGAAAATAGATAAATCTGTGACGATAGTTTAATTTATTTATAGTTTATTTATTTAAAACACACTATTTACAAATTTATTTAAGACGTACTAATTAGTTTATATAATACTTAGACACTAACAAAAATTCTAATTTATTTATTACAATTTTACTTTTCATTTCAATATTCTATACTAAACTAAACTGTGCGCCGATAAGTCGGCTATTTATATCAAGTCCAATTCTGTGCTCGTAGCTTCTAGACGCTCCCGAAAATTCCATCTCTATGACTCAACGGCAGTTTTTCGAAGCTTCAGTGGCATAGCTAGAAGATTCCGTCGTTTCTTGTATATTCGAGACGCGGTCTTCACACGTCAGCGTTGCTTCGATCATGAATCGAGTGGCAGACTTCCAAGGTCGCACAGGGTAGGCTTTAGGAATTTCATGACAAATCTAATAAAAATAACCAACAAAAGCAACAACATTTTATTAAAAAATCGTTTATTGGACCAATTGACAGTGGAAGAAGGACTAAGACAAGGCAAACTTATTTAATCTAGTATTTTTTACCGTTGTTAAAAATACAAAGGACTTTTATTCGTAAATATAATTAATATGAAACTAAATACGGCACTCTACAAATTCCAGACATGCGTTATATTTTAAAACAGAAACATACCACAAATTTTTCGAACTTTACTATGAAAGATGGTCACAGACCAAACTACAGCTCAGTCAAGTAGACAAATTGCATCACAAAATGTTCTTGGCAACATCGTCCTGAACATCGACTATTATAAATTAATTTAATTTTATCAAATTTCAAGTATTATCAAACAATTAAATTTTGAAATGTGCATTAAGTGGTAGTTTAGTACATACTGTAACTATGTAAGTGTTAGCATGCAAATTCAATAAATAATAACCCTTTTCCATTAATAAAAGGATATCAAAAAACAATAAACATTATCTTTATCACTTGATTATCGTGATAAGAACCCAGGATTTGTACCAAATCTTTTAACATTGTTTCCAGACTTATAAAACATCTTAAAATCTTCAAAAATAAATTATGAATGAGTCGAAAGTGAAAAGTCTATTTGAAGAATTTTCAAAAAAAATTTTAGAGGAAATTAAGAGTGGTAAATCTGATTTAATAAATGTCATAGATGCCTCTGAAACAAGGCTGCTATTAAAAATTGAAGAAAAAAATCAAAAAGTAAAGGAATTGGAAGAAGAAAATCAATACTTAAAAGGAAAACTAGAAAAATTAGAGCGAGAGAATAAAGCAAATAATATTATAATATACGGAGCACCTAAAACAATACTGACTGTCGACGCCTTGAAAATAGAAATTAATAACCTTGTTGGAGTAAACCTAGATACACAAGAAGTAAAAAATTTTTATTTTCTTGGAAACTCACAGTCTGCTCCCTTGAAAGTTGAACTAAACTCTTATTTCAAGAAAAGAGAAATCCTTTAGAACCGAAAAAAACTCCAGAACACCGGATTCTCAATATCAGAAGATTTTACTTAACTTCAAAGAGAAGAATATAAATTATTAAAAGAATTTTGGATTAAATATAAATCTACAAAGAAAGAGTGTTACATCCAAGGAAATAAGTTGGTTGTAGATAACAAAAAGTACTCCCTCGAAGAACTTCAGGTACTTGACGTTGAAGAAGCGGAAGTTAGTTCAATTCAAAGTGCCCCATCTACACCTACACCTTCTATTCTGTCAAAACCTGTCTCAAGGAAAATTATAATACCACCAAAGACCAAAGGATCAAAACAGGAAACACCTCCATTGAAGTCATCTAATAGTAAAGAATTTCGTAATTCAAAGCCTCTACTCAATGACATTACTGTTAGAACTCGATCCAACTCGGCTAAAGAAGGAAATAAGTAAAGTTGAAGAAAGACTTTCTCCTAAATTTTATTGATTTTATGATTTTATTGATTAATTTTTAACGCATATTTAATTGTAATCGTATTTTTATGTTTTAAAACATTTTATTATTTAATATTAAATTTATATACTATGGATCCTTTTGTGAGAAACTTTAGGGTAGAAAAAATTGAAAACTATACACTGGAAAACAGTTACGAATTAAACAGTATATTAGATGTAAATAAGAGTAATAATAGTTTCAACATTATACATAATAATATAATTAGCATTAAAAAAAATTTGGATGAATATAAAATTTTCTTAGATAGTATAACAAGTGAAGTAGATTGCATTGTATTTACAGAGACGAGAGAAGTTGAAACTTTGGATTTCTTTCACATTCCCGGCTACGAAATATTGTAAAATCTAAGCAATATGAATCAAAACGATGGCATAGTTGTATACATTAAGTCTTCCTACAAATATTCCTATAAAATTATTCCACTAGGTCCCAGTAACCTTATTCAAATTTAAACAAGCTAGATGACACGACTGTCCTTTTAAGTGCATATTACCGATCTCCATCCTTGAACCCTGAACAATTTCTACAACATTTGCAACAATACTTCCAACAAAATCAAAGAAGTAGTACCTACCACGTTCTCCTAGGCGACTTAAATATTAACCTCTTAGAAGCAAATAACATCACTAACGAATACCTTTATATAATGAACGAACAAGGCCTCATGTCTGCCATAAACAGTTCAACTAGGGTAAAGGGGAACTCAAAAACCTGTCTAGATCATATTTTTATTCAATCAAATATACCTTCTTTCCATGATTATATAATACCATTAGTAATAAAAACTTCAGTTTCTGATCATTATATCACAGCTCTACAAATAATTCATAATTTGGATATATCGAATAAAATCCATCAACAATATAAATCTTTTATTAACTTTAAGAAATTAAATAAGCAGTTGGAGCAAGAAAATTGGAACCAAACCTACCAAGCACAGGACCTTAACTCTTCAGTTAATGAATTTATTAAAACTTTGCTTAATAATATAGAAACATGCTCATATAAAGTAAAAATACGTAGAAAAAACTCTAAATTGACCCCATGGATAACCAATGGACTTGTCAAATCTATAAATACAAAAAATAACATGCATAAAAATCTTTTAAAAAATCCTAATAATGTAATTTTAAAAAATCAATACAATAACTATAGAAACTATCTGACTAAATTAATAAAAACATGTAAATATAAGTACTATCAAAGTTTAATAAACAGGAATAAATCACAATCTAAACAACTTTGGAATGTTGTCAACGAGATCAACAAAACAAAAAAAAAATTCAACATTGACTCCATGAAGAATTCGCTTGGTAACATATTAATTGAAAAAGATGAAATAGCTAATCACATTAACAGCACTTTCACACAAATAGGTCCTAATCTAGCAAAAAAAATTCCCCTTAATACCGGATATAAACCAAAGCAAAAAACACTTCAAAATAGTTTTGCCCTTTTCCCTGTTAGTGATATAGAAGTTAAAAATACTATTTCTTGTTTAAAAACAAATAAATCTCCTGGTACCGATGGAATTCGCTCCGAAATTTTAAAAGCAATTATTAAGAATGTAATAGACCCCTTGACTTTTCTAATAAATAAATGTTTTAATGCAGGTTTGTGGCCTGAGATATTTAAAAAAGCTGTGGTTATTCCCATTTTTAAAAAAGGAGACCCTCAGATAGCAACTAATTACCGTCCTATATCGTTGATCACAACTGTGTCGAAGGTCTTCGAAAAAATATTGGAGACACGACTAAATTCATATCTAGATAAATTTAAAATTATTTCAAAACACCAATATGGCTTTAGAAAAAACGTATCTACTGAAGACGCAATACTTATGCTTACTGAAAAAATAAATGAATCAATGAATGAAGGCCAACCTTGCCTAACTGTTTTCCTGGATTTGTCGAAGGCATTCGACACAGTAAGCCACTCAAAACTTCTAATGACTCTAGAAGATATTGGGATCAGGGGTAATGCACATCAACTTTTTGACAGTTATTTAAGAGATAGACAGCAGTACGTTAAAATGGGAAATATATGTAGCACATGTTCATCAATCTGCTGTGGCATCCCCCAGGGTAGTATACTTGGGCCAACACTATATTAAAACATATATGTTAATGGTTTGTTTGAAGTCTACCCTGAGTCAGAAGTAATTGGTTTCGCTGATGACACGGCATTGTTCTTCAAAGATAAAACCTGGATAGATTTAAAAAACAAAGTCGAATCAGAACTGCCCAAAATACAGAATTGGTTTAACCACAGTCTACTAACCCTAAATCTAGAAAAAACTTTTTATGTTGCATTTCATTGTAACAAAGTTACAACTCCACCATTCAATGAACTAAATGTAAAAGTATCTAACCAAAATATTTCTATTAAAAGTAAAGAACATGTAAAATACCTCGGCATTTACCTTGATAAAAATGGAACGTAAAAATTCTTTATCATGCTCTAGTTGAGAGTCATATCAGCTATTGTATCAGTATTTGGGGTAGTGCTCTAAAAACACATCTCCGTCCTCTTGAAATAATTCAACGCAGATTCTTAAAAATAATTCTTAAAAAACCCATATTGTACTCGACCAATAATCTCTTTCTTGAAGCAAATATACTAGATATTCGTCAACTGTTTTACCTAAGGATAGTCACTTACTATCATAAAAATAACAACTTTAGCGAGTCAACGCACAATTATTCTACTCGCTCCATGCAAAGGCAAAATCATAACGTACCTTTCAAACAAAAGTCTATTGGCCAGAGATCGTTCTCTTATTTGGCTCCTAAACTCTTTAATTATAGTCCATGTGAAATTAAATCCATTAATAAAACTCACCTATTTAAGAAATCGTTAAAAAAATTTATTCTCTCGCTAGAACGTCATGTAATCACTAATTTAATAGAAAATATTTAGTGCCAGACACTTTAACATTAGTTTTAAATATTCGTTTCCAGTGTATAGCAAAAATATACCTAGTATTCATGTGTTGTATATTATGTGAAATTATCATGTAATTTATGTAATGTAACTTATTTAGTTATATGTAGTTTGTTTAGTTTATGTCGAAACAAGCAATGCTTATCGACTATTTAACATTTTATTCAATTGTGGCCTTTTTTGTAACTTTTACTGAATAAATGTTATATATTATCTTAATTTCCAAGTCACAGTTTATTAGGTATGTATTTTTGTGTTAGGAATAATTACTACTTACTACTATTTTTTAGTTATTTTAAGAACTTATTTGTTGGCAATGTAAAATGTATTAATGATTATAATTAAGTTGTCATAAAAATGGTAATCCTACTATTGGGCAATAAAGAAATATTTGTTTATTTTATTTATTTATATCACAATATAATAATTTTGACTATTTATGATTTTAATATATTTACTTTAAACAAACATGTTGTTTTTTTCCCATTTAAAAAAGAAACTTTCATGCATTTTTTTATATCTCTAATCCTATCCATATTAAATCATAATTTATGTAACTGTTCAAATCGTTAGCAGAAACCTACACACTTTGCCGTTATTTTAGTTCTTCTTGTAACAAAAAAAATCTATCTTATAAAAAACAAACAAAAAACAGAAGAAATATTTTAATTTCACATGCCACCATCGGTCCATCTGCCGCTGAATTCAGACACGAGCGTACTTCGCTAGGGGCAAAATAATAGTTTTAAAACAAATATTGATACAGACAACAAGCGATATAGTCTGTTTAATAATAATTTGGAACTTTGAACAAAACTAAAAATTTGTAGTCTAACGCCAAATTTTTTAAATTAAATTTAAATACCGATCAAAGTTGAACTCCTTAATTTACTGATATTATATAATTAGTTGAACGCTTGTTTCTCTAACCACATCTGCATTATTACACAGCTTAATAGTCGATGTAAAAAGGATCAGAAGAGAAACATTACAGGCAATAATATTATAATCTGTATATTTATAAGTTAGCAATGCTAGGGGTTATTTTAAAAATGGGTTAGTCTTCAATTTTTTCTTTCCATACGAATTTACGACAAAATAAATAATATTTAAAAATACAAAATTTAAAAATGGTAGTGCAAACTTTATATGGACTTACGTCTTCTCCGAAACACAGCACAGTTCACACTTTAACACTTTCGTTGCCCATGACGTCCATTAACGCCACGCATGATAGTTCTTTCTCCCATGCCTATGTCGTCTTGGAACGTCATTTGAAAATGTATAAAGATGAAGTGTCTAAGACCATTCTATAATCTATGATAAAACCCAACTGTAAATACTACGAAGTAAGAAGTAACCAAAAAATTTGTAAATTTTTTGTTTCCCACAAAACTTGCTAAAAGAAAAAATTTAATTATTCTGATAAGGTAACTACTTGACATCATTATGGAATTGTACAATAAACGTTTAATGAAGATAAAAAGACAAATGGTTTTTCACTTTAAAAGTCTGAATCGGACAAATGGATCAACCAGTTAATTTAATATACACTCATAATGAGAAACTTTACTTGAGCGAAATGGTATGTACATTTAAGGGTCAGTCTTTTCACCTTCAGATAAAGTGTCAGGTAATTGTTGTCTCCCAGACAACTTAAAAAGTCATCTTTTCACTTTCAGATAAAATTAACCGGCAGATAAATTGGTCTAATCTGAATGATAACTTATCTTACCTCTGAACTTCCTGATAAGATGGTTAACTAATGGATAAGTAGGTATGACATAATAATATGTGATACAAGTCAACATATTTGCTTTTATGGACGTTGTTAAAGATGTGGTTTTTGTAAATAGTGGCTTACCTATTTGTTCCGTATAATAATATATTTATTCTCGAAAAAATACTTGGAAAAATAGGCGATATAATAAAAAACAGCCTTTACATACATATATAAAATAGAATATGGCAAATAGTGTAAACTAATGCTATT